GTGACAGTGCTGAGTCTGTGGGTGACAGTGCTGAGTCTATGGGTGACAGTGCTGAGTCTATGGCTGGCAGTGCTGAGTCTATGGGTGACAGTGCTGAGTCTATGACAGTGCTGAGTCTATGGGTGACAGTGCTGAGTCTATGACAGTGCTGAGTCTATGGGTGATAGTGCTGAGTCTATGACAGTGCTGAGTCTATGGGTGGCAGTGCTGAGTCTATGGGTGACAGTGCTGAGTTTATGGGTGACAGTGCTGAGTTTATGGGTGACAGTGCTGAGTCTATGGGTGACAGTGCTGAGTCTATGGGTGACAGCGCTGAGTCTATGGGTGACAGTGTTGAGTCTGTGGATGACAGTGCTGAGTCTGTGGGTGACAGTGCTGAGTCTATGGGTGACAGTGCTAAGTCTATGGGTGACAGTGCTGAGTCTATGGGTGACAGTGCTGAGTCTATGGGTAGCAGTGCTGAGTCTATGGGTGACAGTGCTGAGTCTGTGGCAGTGCTGAGTCTATGGGTGGCAGTGCTGAGTCTATGGGTGGCAGTGCTGAGTCTATGGGTGGCAATGCTGAGTCTATGGGTGACAGTGCTGAGTCTATGGGTGGCAGTGCTGAGTCTATGGGTGACAGTGCTGAGTCTATGTGTGGCAGTGCTGAGTCTATGGGTGGCAGTGCTGAGTTTTTGGGTGGCAGTGCTGAGTCTATGACAGTGCTGAGTCTATGGGTGGCAGTGCTGAGTCTATGGGTGACAGTGCTGAGTCTATGACAGTGCTGAGTCTATGGGTGGCGGTGCTGAGTCTATGGGTGGCAGTGCTGAGTCTATGGCAGTGCTGAGTCTATGGGTGGCAGTGCTGAGTCTATGGGTGGCAGTGCTGAGTCTATGGGTGGCAGTGCTGAGTCTGGGTGGCAGTGCTGAGTCTATGGGTGACAGTGCTGAGTCTATGGGTGGCAGTGCTGAGTCTGGGTGGCAGTGCTGAGTCTATGGGTGACAGTGCTGAGTCTATGGGTGGCAGTGCTGAGTCTATGGGTGACAGTGCTGAGTCTATGACAGTGCTGAGTCTATGGGTGGCAGTGCTGAGTCTATGGGTGGCAGTGCTGAGTCTATGGGTGGCAGTGCTGAGTCTATGGGTGGCAGTGCTGAGTCTATGGGTGACAGTGCTGAGTCTATGGGTGACAGTGCTGAGTCTATGGGTGACAGTGCTGAGTCTATGGGTGACAGTGCTGAGTCTATGGGTGGCAGTGTTGAGTCTATGGGTGGCAGTGCTGAGTCTATGGGTGGCAGTGCTGAGTCTGTGGGTGACAGTGCTGAGTCTATGGGTGGCAGTGCTGAGACTATGACAGTGCTGAGTCTACGGGTGGCAGTGCTGAGTCTATGACAGTGCTGAGTCTATGGGTGGCAGTGCTGAGTCTATGGGTGGCAGTGCTGAGTCTGTTGGTTACAGTGCTGAGTCTATGGGTAGCGGTGTTGAGTCTATGGGTGACAGTGCTGAGTATATGGGTGACAGTGCTGAGTCTATATGTGACAGTGCTGAGTCTATGACAGTGCTGAGTATATGGTTGAAAGTGCTGAGTCTATGGGTGACAGTGCTGAGTCTATGACAGTGCTGAGTCTATGGGTGACAGTGCTGAGTCTATGGGTGACAGTGCTGAGTCTATGACTGACAGTGCTGAGTCTATGGGTGGCAGTGCTGAGTCTATGGGTGACAGTGCTGAGTCTATGGGTGACAGTGCTGAGTCTATGGGTGGCAGTGCTGAGTCTATGGGTGACAGTGCTGAGTCTATGACAGTGCTGAGTCTATGGGTGACAGTGCTGAGTCTATGACAGTGCTGAGTCTATGGGTGACAGTGCTGAGTCTATGACAGTGCTGAGTCTATGGGTGACAGTGCTGAGTCTATGGGTGACAGTGCTGAGTCTATGGGTGACAGTGCTGAGTCTATGGGTGACAGTGCTGAGTCTATGGGTGACAGTGCTGAGTCTATGGGTGACAGCGCTGAGTCTATGGGTGACAGCGTTGAGTCTGTGGATGACAGTGCTGAGTCTGTGGGTGACAGTGCTGAGTCTATGGGTGACAGTGTTAAGTCTATGGGTGACAGTGCTGAGTCTATGACAGTGCTGAGTCTATGGGTGACAGTGCTGAGTCTGTGGGTGACAGTGCTGAGTCTATGGGTGACAGTGCTGAGTCTGTGGGTGACAGTGCTGAGTCTATGGGTGACAGTGCTGAGTCTATGGGTGACAGTGCTGAGTCTATCGGTGACAGTGCTGAGTCTATGACAGTGCTGAGTCTATGGGTGACATTGCTGAGTCTATGGGTGACAGTGCTGAGTCTATGACAGTGCTGAGTCTGTGGGTGACATTGCTGAGTCTATGGGTGACATTGCTGAGTCTATGGGTGACATTGCTGAGTCTATGGGTGACATTGCTGAGTCTATGGGTGACAGTGCTGAGTCTGACAGTGCTGAGTCTATGGATGACAGTGCTGAGTCTATGGGTGACAGTGCTGAGTCTATGGGTGACAGTGCTGAGTCTATGGGTGACAGTGCTGAGTCTATGGATGGCAGTGCTGAGTCTATGGGTGACAGTGCTGAGTCTATGACAGTGCTGAGTCTAGGGGTGACTGCTGAGTCTATGGGTGACAGTGCTGAGTCTATGGGTGACAGTGCTGAGTCTATGGGTGACAGTGCTGAGTCTATGGGTGATAGTGCTGAGTCTATGGGTGGCAGTGCTGAGTCTATGGGTGACAGTGCTGAGTCTATGGGTGACAGTGCTGAGTCTATGACAGTGCTGAGTCTATGGGTGACATTGCTGAGTCTATGGGTGACAGTGCTGAGTCTATGACAGTGCTGAGTCTGTGGGTGACATTGCTGAGTCTATGGGTGACATTGCTGAGTCTATGGGTGACAGTGCTGAGTCTATGGGTGGCAGTGCTGAGTCTATGGGTGACAGTGCTGAGTCTATGACAGTGCTGAGTCTAGGGGTGACTGCTGAGTCTATGGGTGACAGTGCTGAGTCTATGGGTGACAGTGCTGAGTCTATGGGTGACAGTGCTGAGTCTATGGGTGACAGTGCTGAGTCTATGACAGTGCTGAGTCTATGGGTGACAGTGCTGAGTCTGACAGTGCTGAGTCTATGGATGACAGTTCTGAGTCTATGGGTGACAGTGCTGAGTCTATGGGTGGCAGTGCTGAGTCTATGGGTGACAGTGCTGAGTCTATGACAGTGCTGAATCTATGGGTGACAGTGCTGAGTCTATGGGTGACAGTGCTGAGTCTATGGGTGACAGTGCTGAGTCTATGGGTGACAGTGCTGAGTCTATGGGTGACAGTGCTGAGTCTATGACAGTGCTGAGTATATGGGTGGCAGTGCTGAGTCTATGGGTGGCAGTGCTGAGTCTATGACAGTGCTGAGTCTATGGGTGACAGTGCTGAGTCTGACAGTGCTGAGTCTATGGGTGACAGTGCTGAGTCTATGACAGTGCTGAGTCTATGACAGTGCTGAGTCTATGACAGTGCTGAGTCTATGGGTGACAGTTCTGAGTCTATGGGTGACAGTGCTGAGTCTATGGGTGGCAGTGCTTAGTCTATGGGTGACAGTGCTGAGTCTATGACAGTGCTGAATCTAGGGGTGACTGCTGAGTCTATGGGTGACAGTGCTGAGTCTATGGGTGACAGTGCTGAGTCTATGGGTGACAGTGCTGAGTCTATGGGTGACAGTGCTGAGTCCATGGGTGGCAGTGCTGAATCTATGACAGTGCTGAGTCTACGTCCCAATTGGCTCCGCCTCTCTAACCCCCCCTACCCCCCCTCACTTTCCCCGCATTCCTATTGGCTCTGCCTGCCCTAACCCCCCCCCCTCCCGTCTCTTGTTTTCCCGCCTTCTGCGCGCGACAAAGGCTGAGTGGTGGGGGGAGGGGCCGGATGTAGGTTGGGGGTGAAAGGGGCGGGGCTGCCTGGCGCGCGTGAGTGCGGGGGCCAAGTGGGGAGGGAGGCGTTTGAGGGGCGGGGCTCAGGTGGCTGTGGTTAGTTTGAGGGGCGGGGCTTAGGGGGAGTTTTTGATGGAGGGGGCTCGGGGGGGGGGGATTTAGGGGCGGGGCTGGGATGGCTTTGAGGGGCGGGGGGTGGGTTGCACCTTGAGGGGCGGGGCTGAGGGGGGGAGATTTTGAGGGGCGGGGCTCCAAGGGGGTGTTTTTGGATGGGAGGGGGGGGTGCACCTTGAGGGGCGGGGCTGAGGGTGGTGATGGCAGTTTGAGGGGCGGGGGTTTATGGGGGGATGGGTTATCGAGGGGCGGGGCACAAGGGCTGCGTGGGGGGCGGGGCACAGCGGCGGGGGGGGGCACAGCGGTGGTGAGGGGGCGGGGTACAGCGGTGGTGGGGGGGCGGGGCACAGCGGTGGAGGGCGGGGCACAGCGGTGGTGGGGGGCGGGGCACAGCGGTGGTGGGGGGGGCGGGGCACAGCGGTGGTGGGGGGGGCGGAGCACAGCGGTGGAGGGCGGGGCACAGCGGTGATGGGGGCGGGGCACAGCGGTGGTGGGGGGGCGGGGCACAGCGGTGGTGGGGGGGCGGGGCACAGCGGTGGAGGGCGGGGCACAGCGGTGATGGGGGCGGGGCACAGCGGTGGTGGGGGGGCGGGGCACAGCGGTGGTGGGGGGGGCGGAGCACAGCGGTGGTGGGGGGGGCGGGGCACAGGGGTGGTGGGGGGGGGTACAGCGGTGGTGAGGGGGCGGGGCACAGCGGTGGTGGGGGGGGCGGGGCCCAGCGGTTATGGGGGGGCGGGGCACAGTGGTGGTGGGGGGGGCGGGGCACAGCGGTGGTGGGGGGGGCGGAGCACAGCGGTGGTTGGGGGGGCGGGGCTTGCCACAGCGAGTTGAACCGCCGTGTACAGTGCGCGCGCGCGCGTCGTGTTGTTGGCGAGCACAGTGCGAGGAGAGACAAAGACGGCCGCGGATTGGTTGCTCCAATCCCCCCCACTCGCCCCTCCCCTCCCACCCCCCACTCGCCCCTTCCCCCCCCCACTCGCCCCTCCCCTCCCCCGCCGTGGGCTGAGCGAGCCGAGAGAGAGGCCGCCGTTGTGCAGGAGAAGCCTCGGGCCTTGGTGGGTTGATGGGGTTCAAAGTGGTGGTGGTGGTTGTTGTTGTTGTGATGGTTGTTGTTGTGATGGTTGTTGTGGTGGTTGTTGTTGTGGTGGTGGTGGTTGTTGTTGTTGTGATGGTTGTTGTGGTGGTGGTGGTTGTTGTTGTGGTTGTTGTGGTGGTGGTTGTTGTTGTTGTGATGGTTGTTGTGGTGGTGGTTGTTGTTGTGGTGGTGGTTGTGATGGTTGTTGTGGTGGTTGTTGTGGTGGTAATGGTTGTTATGCTGGTGGTGGCGGTTGTTGTTGTGGTGGTGTTGGTTGTTATGGCGGTGATTGTTGTTGTTGTAGCGATTGTTGTTGGTTTTGTGGTTGTTGTGGTGGTTGTTGTGGTGGTTGTTTTTGTGGTTTTGGTGGTTGTGTTACTGAGGTAAAGTCACTCTTCGTGGTTGTGTAGTGATTGTGGTAAGTCAGTGGCGGTGTGAGTGTATTTCTGAGGTAAAACTCACACCTGTAGTGATTGTGGTAAGTCAATGGCAGTGTGAGTGTATTTCTGAGGTAAAACTCACACCTGTAGTGATTGTGGTAAGTCAGTGACGGTGTGAGTGTATTTCTGAGGTAAAACCCCCACCTGTGTAGTGATTGTGGTAAGTCAGTGGCGGTGTGAGTGTATTTCTGAGGTAAAACTCACACCTGTAGTGATTGTGGTAAGTCAGTGACGGTGTGAGTGTATTTCTGAGGTAAAACTCACACCTGTAGTGATTGTGGTAAGTCAGTGACGGTGTGAGTGTATTTCTGAGGTAAAACTCACACCTGTAGTGATTGTGGTAAGTCAGTAGCGGTGTGAGTGTATTTCTGAGGTAAAACTCACACCTGTAGTGATTGTGGTAAGTCAGTGACGGTGTGAGTGTATTTCTGAGGTAAAACTCACACCTGTAGTGATTGTGGTAAGTCAGTGACAGTGTGAGTGTATTTCTGAGGTAAAACTCACACCTGTAGTGATTGTGGTAAGTCAGTGACGGTGTGAGTGTATTTCTGAGGTAAAACTCACACCTGTAGTGATTGTGGTAATTCAATGGCAGTGTTGAGTGTATTTCTGAGGTAAAACCCACACCTGTGTAGTGATTATGCTAAGTCAGTAGCGGTGTGAGTGTATTTCTGAGGTAAAACTCACACCTGTAGTGATTGTAGTAATTCAGTGGCAGTGTGAGTGTATTTCTGAGGTAAAACCCACACCTGCGTAGTGATTGTGGTAAGTCAGTAGCGGTGTGAGTGTATTTCTGAGGTAAAACCCGCACCTGTGTAGTGATTGTGGTAAGTCAGTGACGGTGTGAGTGTATTTCTGAGGTAAAACTCACACCTGTAGTGATTGTGGTAATTCAGTGGCAGTGTGAGTGTATTTCTGAGGTAAAACCCGCACCTGTGTAATGATTGTGGTAAGTCAGTGACGGTGTGAGTGTATTTCTGAGGTAAAACTCACACCTGTAGTGGTTGTGGTAAGTCAGTGACGGTGTGAGTGTATTTCTGAGGTAAAACCCCCACCTGTGTAGTGATTTTGGTAAGTCAGTGGCGGTGTGAGTGTATTTCTGAGGTAAAACCCCCACAACTGTGTAGTGATTGTGGTAAGTCAGTGGCAGTGTGAGTGTATTTCTGAGGTAAAACTCACACCTGTGTAGTGATTGTGGTAATTCAGTGGCAGTGTGAGTGTATTTCTGAGGTAAAACCCCCACCTGTGTAGTGATTGTGGTAAGTCAGTGACGGTGTGAGTGTATTTCTGAGGTAAAACCCCCACCTGTGTAGTGATTGTGGTAAGTCAATGGCAGTGTGAGTGTATTTCTGAGGTAAAACTCACACCTGTAGTGAGTGTGGTAAGTAAGTAGCGGTGTGAGTGTATTTCTGAGGTAAAACCCCCACCTGTGTAGTGATTTTGGTAAGTCAGTGGCGGTGTGAGTGTATTTCTGAGGTAAAACTCACACCTGTGTAGTGATTGTGGTAAGTCAGTGACGGTGTGAGTGTATTTCTGAGGTAAAACTCACACCTGTAGTGATTGTGGTAATTCAGTGGCAGTGTGAGTGTATTTCTGAGGTAAAACCCACACCTGCAGTGATTGTGGTAAGTCAGTGGCAGTGTGAGTGTATTTCTGAGGTAAAACCCGCACCTCTAGTGATTGTGGTAAGTCAGTGGCAGTGTGAGTGTATTTCTGAGGTAAAACCCCCACCTGTGTAGTGATTGTGGTAAGTCAGTGGCAATGTGAGTGTATTTCTGAGGTAAAACCCACACCTGTGTAGTGATTGTGGTAAGTCAGTGGCAGTGTGAGTGTATTTCTGAGGTAAAACCCCCACCTGTGTAGTGATTGTGGTAAGTCAGTAGTGGTGTGAGTGTATTTCTGAGGTAAAACCCCCACCTGTGTAGTGATTGTGGTAAGTCAGTGGTAGTGTGAGTGTATTTCTGAGGTAAAACCCCCACCTGTGTAGTGATTGTGGTAAGTCAGTGGCAATGTGAGTGTATTTCTGAGGTAAAACCCACACCTGTGTAGTGATTGTGGTAAGTCAGTGGCGGTGTGAGTGTATTTCTGAGGTAAAACCCACACCTGTGTAGTGATTGTGGTAAGTCATTAGCGGTGTGAGTCTATTTCTGAGGTAAAACTCACACCTGCGTAGTGATTGTGGTAAGTCAGTAGCGGTGTGAGTGTATTTCTGAGGTAAAACCCGCACCTGTTTAGTGATTGTGGTAAGTCAGTGACAGTGTGAGTGTATTTCTGAGGTAAAACTCACACCTGTGTAGTGATTGTGGTAAGTCAGTAGCAGTGTGAGTGTATTTCTGAGGTAAAACTCACACCTGTAGTGATTGTGGTAAGTCAGTGGCAGTGTGAGTGTATTTCTGAGGTAAAACTCACACCTGTAGTGATTGTAGTAATTCAGTGGCAGTGTGAGTGTATTTCTGAGGTAAAACCCCCACCTGTGTAGTGATTGTGGTAAGTCAGTAGCGGTGTGAGTGTATTTCTGAGGTAAAACCCCCACCTCTGTAGTGATTGTGGTAAGTCAGTGGCGGTGTGAGTGTATTTCTGAGGTGAAACTCACACCTGTAGTGATTATGGTAATTCAGTGGCAGTGTGAGTGTATTTCTGAGGTAAAACTCACACCTGTGTAGTGATTGTGGAAAGTCAGTGAGGGTGTGAGTGTATTTCTGAGGTAAAACTCACACCTGTAGTGATTGTGGTAATTCAATGGCAGTGTTGAGTGTATTTCTGAGGTAAAACCCCCACCTGTGTAGTGATTGTGGTAATTCAGTGGCGGTGTGAGTATTTCTGAGGTGAAACTACTACTCGAGACTAACAGCACTTGCCCCTATAGTCTGCTAGAGGCTACACGGGGGATCTTTGTCTCTGTGTGTAGGTGCCACTGACAGCACTTGCCCCTACAGCCTGCTAGAGGCTACACGGGGGATCTTTGTGTGTAGGTGCTACTGACAGCACTTGCCCCAACAGCCTGCTAGAGGCTGCAAGGGGGATCTTTGTCTGTGGGGTGCATCGTGTTTTGTGTTCGTGTGTACAGTGCTAAGTGCAGGCGACAGATTGAGTCTTTGTCACCCTGCGGAGATAAAAGGCCCTCCTGCTGTGTCTCTGTCTCAGTGTCTCTCAGTGTCTCACAGTGTCTCAGTGTCCCCCAATATCTCAGTGTGTATCACAGTATCTCTCATTGTGTCTCAGTGTCTCCCAGTGTCTAACATTGTCTCAGTGTCTAACATAGTGTCTCCCAGTGTCTCCCAGTGTCTCACAGTGTCTCAGTGTCTCACAGTATCTCTCATTGTGTCTCAGTGTCTCCCAGTGTCTCACAGTGTCTCCCAGTGTCTCACAGTGTCTCACAGTGTGTCTCAGTGTCTCAGTGTCTCACAGTGTCTCAGTGTCTCACAGTGTCTCAGTGTCTCTCAGTGTCTCACAGTGTCTCTCAGTGTCTCTCAGTGTCTCTCAGTGTCTCTCAGTGTCTCACACTGTTTCACAGTGTCTCACAGTGTCTCAGTGTCTCACAGTGTCTCAGTGTCTCAGTGTCTCACAGTGTTTCCCAGAGACTCTCAGTGTCTCAGTGTCTCACAGTGTCTCACAGTGTCTCAGTCTCTCACAGTGTCTCTCAGTGTCTCTCAGTGTCTCACAGTGTCTCACAGTGTCTCACAGTGTCTCAGTGTCTCACAGTGTCTCTCGGTGTCTCACAGTGTCTCAGTCTCTCACAGTGTCTCACAGTGTCTCACAGTGTCTCTCAGTGTCTCAGTGTCTCACAGTGTCTCAGTGTCTCACAGTGTTTCCCAGAGACTCTCAGTGTCTCACAGTGTCTCAGTGTCTCACAGTCTCTCACAGTGTCACAGTGTCTCAGTGTCTCACAGTGTCTCACAGTGTCTCAGTGTCTCACAGTGTCTCACAGTGTCTCACAGTGTCTCAGTGTCTCAGTGTCTCACAGTGTCACAGTGTCTCACAGTGTCTCAGTGTCTCACAGTCTCTCACAGTGTCTCACAGTGTCTCACAGTGTCTCACAGTGTCTCAGTGTCTCACAGTGTCTCAGTGTCTCACAGTGTCTCAGTGTCTCACAGTGTCTCAGTGTCTCACAGTGTCTCAGTGTCTCACAGTGTCTCAAAGTGTCTCAGTGTCTCACAGTCTCTCACAGTGTCACACAGTGTCTCACAGTGTCTCAGTGTCTCACAGTGTCTCACAGTGTCTCACAGTGTCTCACAGTGTCTCCCAGTGTCTCAGTCTCTCACAGTGTCTCACAGTGTCTCAGTGTCTCACAGTGTCTCCCAGTGTCTCAGTCTCTCACAGTGTCTCACAGTGTCTCACAGTGTCTCAGTGTCTCACAGTGTCTCTCAGTGTCTCAGTGTCTCTCAGTGTCTCAGTGTCTCACAGTGTCTCAGTGTCTCAAAGTGTCTCACAGTGTCACAGTGTGTCTCACAGTGTCTCACAGTGTCTCAGTGTCTCACAGTGTCTCAGTGTCTCACAGTGTCTCACAGTGTCTCTCAGTGTCTCACAGTGTCTCACAGTG